ATCTAGTTACTGATATATGTGTGTTGTCCTTCTCTGGGCTGGACGCTTTGGTCTGATAGACAATCATTATAGTATGATACTTATAACTTGCATCATAATGCAGCCTGGAACGTATGGTTTGTGTCATTGGTCAGCATGGCACGTATGTTTTGTACCTTGAGAGAGGACAGTGTATAATGTGGATTCTGTGGTAGAGAAGTCCATATACAGCTTATATTCTGTGGCAATGAGGCTTTACTAGACCTATACAGCTTACATTTTGTATTAGAGAGGTCAATATACGGCCTAAATTCACGTGTAAAGAGATTATATACAGTATAAATTCAATGATACTTAGTAACACTCACAACTCCTCTCCCCTTCAGGTGAAGACGCGGTAATGGCCAGCCGCCCCTGGCAGGTGTCACCGCCTATCACTGGTGGTCGACAGCCTGGCCAGTCTCCCGTGAGTGACATCTTCCCTCTCGTCTACACACGCGCCTGAGACGCCTTTCGCGACTACACAAACTCCTTGACATAAATCTCCTCCACAATGATTATTACATTTGTTTTTTTTCAGATATATTGTGAAACGAGATCAATAAATCTTGTTTAATTCCTAAAAGAATTCTTACTTCAGCCTATATTCACTACTGATCTATCTACTCGTACACATGATCCTAAATGTCTACACAAGCTCCTGATCCTAAGGGATTCATAAACACCTGAACGTACAAATCTACATAAACACCTGTAGTTACACGTCTACATAAACACCTGAACCTACATGTCTACATGAACACCTAAACGTACATGTCTACAAAAAACAAAACAGTATTTCAAAAAAGTATTTGTCCACATTCTGTGTGAAGCATTATGAGAACACGGGTGATAGATATTAGGATTTGCGTGTTGCTGCCTTGTATAGTTTAACGTAAGTAATGCAATGTGTATTTATTTCGGCGTAATTAATATGATCTTCGGTTACCAGTATGCCACAGAGCCACACATACCAACCCATCCCTGTCAGGATGGGTTCCATCCTGACAGATAATTTTTGGAGATATTGTACATGTTTACATAAAGACCAAGAAAAAACACCTGAACCTGCACTTACATACACAAGAACCAACGCTCTTAACTTAAGAACATAAGAATGGAGGAAAATGCAAAAGACCTATTGGCCCATACTATGCAGCCCCGTTTACTCCAAAACCCATATCGTTCATACATCCGTCCAACCTATATCTGAAGCTACCCAGCGTGTTCGAGCTAATGATGAAGTTCGTCTTATAATGTGTCACTTAAAAAGGCTGGATTTCCGGCATCTTCGTGGTGTAGATTACTATAGTCTTTTTCTTTTCTATTTTAAATTGATTTTTACTCTTATTTACTCTTTCGTCCTTTATGTCAGTAGTGTTTAACAGAATAATGTCTGGGTCTAATTGATAGTATAAGTTAGACAGCTCATTGCGTCTATTAAGGGACCAGTGTAGGACATTATGTTGGACAATTTTCATCCTTCTAACGACTGCCATTTAGGAGACTGTAAGCATAGGGCGTCGCTTGGAGTGTATGCTCGGTTTCTGCCATTTCTAGGGGGCCGGAACTTCTCAGCAGAACCTTCGAACATCTGCTTGTCAGCTAATGACTGGCCCTCGAACTTCCATCACCCATGTGCAGGAAGATGTTTAGGTCCTGGACTTGTGTATCGAAGTTGTCTATTGACGCTGCAGCTCAAGGGTCTTGTTCCTGTGTAGAGTAAGTTGCCATCACCTGATCGCAACCATTAACTGTAGGGTCACGGAGATTTACGGTATCGCTGGAGGAGCTGTGATCCCAAGAGGACTGACTGGCCACGTCTGGGCTATGGTTATTCTGACTTTGGCCTAAGTCAGGGAGGATATGGTCCATTTCTGGCTAGGGATTTATATCCTACAGGCCAGGATTTTACAAGGTGCAATGTTGTTCTTGATTAGTGTCTCATTGAGGTGTTTCATGAATGAACCTGGATGAACCATGTTCATGTGATGGGCATGGAGGTAAGACAAGTATATAGCGGTGGCTTTGGACTCTGGAGAGGAGACGCTCCTTATGCTCCCTGCCACTGCGTCCTTCGTGGCGCCCAGTGACTCAGTCATTGCCTGTTTTATTGAAGCCTTAATTGTTCCTATCTCTGATTGCAGGACTTCCATGGTTTTGCTGACACCGGTGAGGTTTTGTGATTATGCTCGAGTTTCTTTCAGAGTTTCCTTCTGGCTGTAAGCTACGATCGTCGACTGAGTGGTCTTTTTCATGATTTAGAAATTTCTCTGATTTCATTTTGCTTGGTTATTTCAGTCAACTTCTTCTCTTTTTCTTGAATTACCCGTTTCCTGACCAGGCAGGAGGCAGTGAAGGTCTTGTAGCCACTCTCACAGACGACACACCTTTTGGTGGTGCTACGGCAGTGTTTGTAGAAGTATTGATCAGATGAGCACTCAGAGCATACTACCCCTTGCAGGGGACAGTTCTTGGTCATGTGGCCATTGTATTGTTGGATGGGCGTATACTTTTCGTATTTTAGTTGGTGTGAGGAGATGGAAGTGCCATATGCGTAGAGCCCCTTCTCCTTCATTCTTTTTGCATCCGTTGTCTGCAAAGCAAACCTTGATTATATTATGGGCACACATAGGGTACATCTCCACAATCTTGACTTTGTTTTGCTTTTCTATTCCATCTCTTATTTCATTTAGATTATTTTCCACCTCATCATTGTCCAATTTCTTACATACAAGGGTGAGCTTGGCGCTGTATTCCCGTGGAGCAATGACCTCGTATCCGTTGGTTTTAATTTTGTCCATGGCACTAGTTGAACTATACTAAAAGGAAAAATTTTTTCACCTGTAAACAGAGACAACAGGTAAGTACCAGCGCCACAGCACTTATCCCCGAATAGCAGTAGGACATCTCGTAGATAGTCATAGATTGAGTCCCGTGGATGAAATGTGTATTATAATAGACCCATCTTTCAAATACAATACTTACTGCCATTTGTTAAGGCGGTATTACGCAAGCATCTAAACTGGCAAGTTTTCAAACTGGCAAGCAAATGCGGCAATAGAACAGGAGATACCAGTTATTGTTCCTGATTGCATTTTTACGAAGTCTCTTAGACACTTTTACACAAGGACTATATACAGTAAGGACACACAGCTGTTACGTCATAAACTTTAGCTCCACCCCATTCAATGACGTCACACTACCTGTGATGACCAGAGGGTGACCAAGGACTATGGCCTTGCCTTGGTTGACATTTGATTGCTTCATTTTTTTAGAATACTCGCTAGGATAAGACTTTTCTGTGGCCAGGTATAACAAAATGAATGGCTTATGTTCTCATAGTCCTCCAAAAAATAAGTGATATAGCCAAAAAAAAAACCACCAGAATATTACAAGGAAACACCCGGAGGGTGCTGGGTATTTCAGTGATGACATGGACGAAGCAACTCAAATTTTGAGCTTATTAGCAATGCAAAGATTTTTCTTTTGCCAGACATAGCAAGGTGAATGTCTGAGGGCACTCCAGACAACTGGATATTGCCTTACATTGTATATTGAAGAAAATATAGCAAGTTTCTATAGGCGTTCAGCATCACGACCGTCGCCGGTGAATTAAACGATGTAATTATGGTTTTGCTTATATTTGAGGCAATAGTACAGTTTGTTTTTTGTCAGACGTGGCAGGAACAATGTCCCATGGTCTTCTGGATGACCTTATATTGAGTGACATTGTAGAATTAAAAAGCTACAAGAAATCTTCTCTCGCGTCTTGTAACAGGCGTGGTGTTGACACCTGAAACCCACGTATCGATGTACTTAACTTTAATTTTGTCAAGATGATTAAAGATGTTCAGAGTTCTTTTTGGCCACATAAAGCAAGATGAATGTCTCCCTTTCTTTAGATACCTGGATATCGACAGACATTCCAGAATTAAGAAGATATAAAAGAAATATGAACCCTCTTCAAACAAGTTCTCTGCTAGCTTAATTTGGTGTTTATTTTATCAGAGCACTTTCAGGCATTTATTCATTTATCAAAAAGTTTTTTTATCTCTTGGATATCTGTAATACTTGATGTACTGCTCTCTGCTTGGGATTTGAGCTTTGCTGGTGCACCTGTTTATTGTACATATAACCATAATTGTTGATACACTGGTCCCGGATGCAGACGCGGGCACACATGGAGGTTACCAGATGATGTGTGTTTACAACCGTGACGTCACCGAGTTGTGTATGTTGGGTAAAACAGGTGCCCAGAGATCTATCCTGACTGTCTCTTGCTTTTACAAAGGGGCCTGTGAAGTCTCGTATATGACGTCATACTGCCAATGAGTTGCCAGCCACTGCCATAATTATGCTCAGTCATCTAATGTGTCCCATACCACCACTTTCTGCTGCTACTGCCAACACTTCCAGTTACTAACACCATCACTACCACCACTTCCTGCTACTACAACCACCACTTCCACCACTTCCTGCTACTACTACTACTACCACTTCCTGCTACTACTACTACTACCACTTCCTGCTACTACTACTACTACCACTTTCTGTTACTAATGCCTCAAAGAACATGATCGAGTTGATGCCCTCGTCCAACTCGCGTCTAACAAAAACACTGTTGAATACAGTCTAGGGCAGTGGTTCTCAACCTTGTTTGCCCCATGCACCCCTTTCACCATATGTCAGAATGTCATTCCCCCCTCCTTTCCAAGATTGTCTGCTTCAAAAAGTGCATTCCAAATAATATGCATATAATACTGAAAATCCTTTATTTTTTCCATATTAGTACATATACATTTACAATTTTACATGGATTATTTTTATAGTGGAGTTTTACAAATTAAATGCCAATTGAAAATGTTGATGGATTTATAAAACTTGAATAAAAGTAAAATAGTTTTTTTTATTTATAATGAATTACTTAACAGACCAAACTGAAGCATAATGCAATAAACAAAAAGTTCAATAGAATACCAGGATATTGTAAATTTGTAATTAATTTTATTCAGATGAAGATTACAGTCAATGAAAAACCTGTGATTGTTTTTTCTTCGCCAATTCTGGGATACACGGAGGAGTGCTTGAAAGGGCACAACGCAGGTCATTTTCTACCTCTAATCTACTACGTTGCTTCGTTTTAATTTGCAACAGAGTTGAAAAGCCTGACTCACAAAGATATGTCAACACAAACGGAAGCAATGCACGGATAGCTCTTTCTGCCACTTTTGGGTAGGAATCGCACATCAAGGGCCAAAATTCTGTGATTGATTTCTCATCGAACATATCTCTTGCTCCCGAATCAGTTTCCCCCCCCCCCCCTGAAAACCTGAATTCCCCCCCTGGGGGGAATTCCCCCCTGGTTGAGAACCCCTGGTCTAGGGTAATTAAATTTTTAGAATGAGAAATTTACGGGACTGTAAAGAGCCTGTAAGTTACGGAGGCCTCATACTCAAAAAATAATTATGGGACTTTATCTCTTTGTTTACCCCGAAACTGAACTTATAGTCTCCGATCGGTATACCCAAAACAAATATTTGGTAACAGACTCCGTAAGTGAGCCCGTAATCTATCCCGTAACTT